CCTTATCTATTTTTTTTATAGCTCTATATAGTAAACTATAAGATCTAAAATGCATTAAAATATAAAATATAACACAACAGCTGTGAGTGGATTAAAGGTTTTTTATGAAGTTTTTTTAATTTGATAGATCGCACGATATTTAAAAAATTAGTATAAAATTACCTACATGATATAAAATATTGATGAGCCCACATGATTATTAGCATAATAAGTCAGTCTATTTATTTGACATATCTAGCCTTAGATTTTATACAAGTATATAACTTTAAATGCAATATGAGGCATATATATGACTCTTCTTTGCCATGATTTATGCATTGTAAACAATAATTCATGATTTAAACATAAATTTTATAACATATAAAGAAAAAAAAAACAAGCATGTATTAGTTCACATTATTAAGAGAGATTTGCATATGGGCTAAAATCACATTTATTTATTGGTTTCATATATACATTATTTGAGCATCATTTTTTGAAATTAAAGACTAGATATACGATTTACTCCTTGAATATTTCTATAAGAAAAAATTCGTCAACCTATTTGTCAGTTATTTCTTCTTTAGCAACAATAATTGGAGGAGCATTATTATCTGAGTTGATAATCTCTTTCTTTAATCTTCACACCAGTAGTACTCAAGAGCTTGACCACCACCATCAGGGTCCTGACATCAAAATGGTTCATCCATGTCGCCTTGAATTTCTTTGGCGCGATAGTAAGTCCATTAGGAGTGTTAACAATGTGAAGTTTGCGAGGCTTCTTGTTCCTATTCTTTGCAGCCTTTCTCTTTTGCCTCTCCTCACTAGTTTCATATTTATAATGAGCTCTTAAAACATGAGTCGCAAAAAGCAGCGATGTACTGAACCCTTCCATACACTTAGGGCATGTGTATGGACCGTTTTTGTTGCAAGGGAGGCTGTGAGTCACCCCATCATAACTCTCATCATCATCACTTTCAGATTGATGATGATCTCCATTTGGGTTGTTCGGAACTCTTGTTTGTTGGGAACAATTTTCCATAGTGTTTGTACTCATGCGCGATAAAGTTGGCAAGATCTTCAGTGATTGATCATTAAGAATGTTGTTGTTGTTACCAAATGCACCGTTGCTCAATGATTGAGCAAACAAAAGTTCATTTTTCATCTCGAAAAGGTCCCTACTATTTGGATAATTAAGGGGGAATGAATTTGGTGAGAAGTTGTGAGGATAATGATGAGTAACAGGAAAATTGTTAACGTTTCTAGCAAGCATCATTGGGTTTGGCATGGTGATACTAGTCGACTGGTTTCTGATATTGGAGTAAACTCCTAGGGGTTGTTGAAACCCGATCAAGTTATTAAAAGATGGTACAGAAAGCTGCAATCCAGCAGCTTTTGAAGTGAAAAAACTTTTCTGCACAACTTCAGTTACAGAGACCTCAGCAAAGCTTGGTTGGTTTTGGAGAGGGACACAACCAATGTAATTTTCAACCTGGACCCTTGTGGGACAGGAATCAAAGATTCTCCCCATATCCTGACCTATCATTGGATTGATTATCCCAGTTTGGCCAACACCGAGATTGTTTTTTGGAAAAAAGATGGGATTTTGGGTAAACCTGGTTGAGGAATTGGTAAAATTGAATTGGGAATTCGCCATGATATTCCTTTGGTTAACATGGTAATTAGCGTTGGATCTCAGAATACTACTTTGGTTGCATGAGTTAAAGAAGCAAGTCATGTTGTTGTCAACACCATTACCATGATAATTAGGATTGAACGAGACTGAGTTGGAGTTAAAAGAAAAAGAGGACTCAAAATTTGTTGCCATGGAAATGATTGAGAGGCTCGCAAAGAACACAGGAAAATAATAAAGCGAAATGATGAGAGAACAAGCTTTGATGGAAGACAACTAGGGTTTATATCACATATATATAATGTTTTTTTTAGGTCGGTGGGATGAAACTTTCTTTCTAAGTTATTATTGTCTATCTATAAATTTAAAAATATAAGAGATATTTATTACAAAATTGAGTAATGTAATAATTATTTTTTCAAAATTTGATAGATTTGACGGTTACTTAAAGAAAAAGAAGAAAATCTGATATTTTTAAAATATATAGAAAAATTAGATATAAAATTAAATAGAAGATTTAATGGTTATTAATTCTCTTCATGCGTTTCAAGAAACTTAGAGGAATAATAATTAAGAGAAAAAGGAGGATAATATTTTATATTTAAAAAAAATATTTGAAAAATGGGAATGATAATTAATCTCCTTGGCAGGTTTTATAATTTAAATTTTTATGTATTCTAATTAAAAAAATATTTAAAATTTAATATTATTATAAAATATTATATTTAAAATGATTTAATAATATCAAAAATTGAATTGTAAAGAAATTAATTATAATATATTCGATAATTTAAAAATTAGAATAATAAAATAAATTTTTATTTTATAATTTTTATAACAACATAATTTAATGAATTAACGAATATAATAGTTATATCAGTATATCTTATTTATTTTATTTTAAATTATAATTATTTTTATTCGCATCGAATTAGTTTAAATTTGAATATGATATATTCTTTATTATTTATTTTGAATATCTATATATGCAAATAATAAGTGCTCTTATATGTAAAGGCTCAAACCTCGTACTAAGAATTCTTAACGTCTGACTCAAAAATAGTGGAATAAACAGCAAATAAAATTTATAATTTAGCAGAACCAATTAGAGTTTAGGGTTACAGTTCTTACACAGTTTACTTAAAATATTCAATAGATTTATGAGAATGCTGTCTTGGTCGTTCTGATTTGAAATGATTAATACTAAAGGGTAAATTATACTAATTCTATAAGAATATCAACGCATTACCACTGATACGGAAAATCAAATGGTTGTCGAAAACATAAAACAACCAATCAAGCTTATTTTTGATAAAATTCGAACGCTACTGCATTTATTATTTATTTAACTAAAAAAGTTAATATTTTTTTAACTTACCTGTAAATTCTTAAATTTCTTTCATTAAGGTAAAAATCAGAATAACAATTTATAATGTGCATTCTAAAGACATATAATAATTAACTTTACGTTATTTTCCAAAGCTAGATTCCTTACCATATTCATCTTTATTATTTTATTTTATCTACAGGTGTCGTTGGGGGGTCCACAAGGATTCTCACTACATGTGGACACGAACTTTCATTATATTAATCAAACAGCCATCCTCATACCCCGTTTGGTATGAACGTAATTAAAACGATTCCCAACCCCTTTTGGTATGAAACTTCTCAACCCACTAAGGGTATTGTTCACAGTAGGGTTCACCCCATGCACCAAATTCGTACTCTTTCTTAAAATACCCAGTAAGCCTCTTTTATTCATTAATATTAATTCATTTATTTTTTTTCTTTTCTTTACTATTTAATCTTAAAAGGCACGTATATCTACATCCAAAATAACAATAACTATGAAATTTATATTTTAAGGTACGTATTTGAAATAAGCATGCATTATACCGACAGAAACGTATTACACACACAAGAGAATAACAAGATAATATAGATTAAGAAACTTTAT